TTTGCGATGTTCCCTACGAAGGATCCCTTCTCCATTTCCTCAGGAATCGAATAGCGAATCTGTCCTGAAACTGCCGCCCAAATTGTGACCAAGATACAGGAAAACAAGGCTCGCCTTTTGCAACCCTGCCGGCTCGGGGTGTCCGCCATTGCAAAAGCAACGAAGAGCTGCCTCCCAGTTCTCTTGCCGATGTCTGCAGAGATTAGGAATCAGGAATTTGTATCCTGTTGTCTCGGGACAAATCTTCCATCCGGTATCGTATGTCAGGGCTACATTCAACCCCTCAAGGGTCTGTTTTTCTATTCAGACCATACCATCCTGCGGCTTCTTTGTCTTTACTAGAGGTTTCCTCCGTCTGGTATTAGACTTCTCGTGCTTAGTTAGCAAACAGCGACACCCAGAGTCCATATCAATGACTGCAGTGTATTCCATTGTAACGGGTTGTTTTGTTTTTAATGATGACATTTCAATTGTTCAGTTTTACACAATATATATATTTACACCTGTAAGCATGACAGTTCACAGGACAGCTCACTTAGCATAATATGACAAGTGCAATTACATATCTAGTGCTTAATTCAAATGCTATTTCGTTAACATTTTAAACCTTTTTCTTATTTTATTTCACAAAATGTCTTTCACTGATACAGAATAAAATGAAAGCAACTCAAACATCCATCTAACTTCGGTATAGTAAAATGTTATTATGTAAGATACAGTGTAGTGAAGAGTCCCATGGTTGGGTCCTTTTGAGTATATTCGAAATAAATGAGGAACTCAGAAACCCCAGTAGAACATTTATCGGATAACCTTTTTGGATTAAATAGTAACAGCTTGGAAGCTGGAAATAACACAAAGTTATACATGGAGACATGAAGGAGGTTTTACATTTTGTGCATTTTATGGAAACAGTAAAAGGGAAAGCATGCACAACTGGTGACAATTGTGAAGATAGACTAATAAATTCATAGAGTATGAAGCAAGAAGGGACCACTGTGACAGAAGGGACCACTATGACAACGTAGTCTGCCTTCCTACATAAAAACGCCAGTGAATTCTCAAAGTAATTCCTGCATGGAAATAAATTATTCTTCTTTACATTATAATGGAACACTTTACAGTCCGATAAGTTTTGACTGAATCAGGACATATCTTTTAGAAAGACATTGGATCTCAGTGTGAGAGATGAAGGTACATAAAGAAATATGATATTCATGGTTTTTATTGGCATACATCAGGTCTTAATAAAATTTCCATCTACATATCTATTGAATTGTGAAGTGCAAATCTTTGAAATTGATTTAATTTTGTGTTGAAAACACTTCCAGCAATGGAACACCTATAGAAGTTCACTTATTAATAGCCATATAGAGGAATATGGACATATGTTGAAGCATTAGATAGTTGAGATACTAGGCATCAAGCGATAACAGACACAACATTAAAATAGTCATAATACTTACCTGTTATACAGGACTTTTAATAAATAAATTTCAAAATGCTTTACAGAAGGGCTTAGTATAATCATCCACATTTTAAAGATGAAGAAATTGAGGCACACAGAGATGAATGTCACCCAGTTGGCCAAAAGCAGACCTGTGAGTAAACCCATGGAGAAATTAAGTGATCTATGTCCAAGGCCATGACAATGACGATTTAATTAATGTCCTAGAACACTTGACCTAAAATAAATTACATCGGTGAATAAATTTGTCTCTGTAGAGTCATTTCACATATGAGCCCATATTTTGTGGCAACACACATTTTCCAATATAGTAGCAATACCCTTACGTTTTGGAATGAAAGAAATGATGCTTCATTATAATGACATAAAATGTTAAAAGTGCCACTTCTATTACCATCAAATAAATGTAGTGTGACCTAATGGGGGGGTACCTTGCTGGTTGCTATGCTGGGCAGTGGGTTGTGAGTGATCTCCACTGGCTGCTGGCTGCAGCAGGGCCCAGCAGGGCAGGGGATGAGTCATTATGCTAGGGGGCTTTGACCCTGTCTGACAAGTTATCTCCCAGGGAGCGGAACAATGGGAAGAAGGGGAGTGGAGCCCTAGCTGGGGGCAGGGCTGGAGAGGAGTGAATTAGGTTTCTGGCTGGGAAGCAGGGGAGAAGAAGCTAGGGAGGGGGGATGTGATTGTAGGGCCCACCCACCCCCCAACTCAAAGGGGGGCACTGAGGCCTCCTAGCCCCAGTTCCTGTAACCAGATAACATCTGTGCTGTATCCTGGAGAAGCAATAAACTCCCTCTATTCTACTGGATGGTGGAGTCTGTCCATGCCACTATGGGGGGGCAGGAGATGGGAAAATCCCAGGGCTGTCACATGCAGATACAGTAATTACTCATTTAACACGTGCCTGCTTAACACATTTTCGCAATAGCATGATTTTATTTTTAGGGAACATTTTTTGAGTAACACGACAGTCCCCAAAATAACATGAAAATAATCAAGTGCCGGTATAAATTGGTGAAAACAGTGGTAATACACATGAGTGGATGAATACACGTGGTCACAGCACTCCGCTGTTCACTCACTTGTTTATCTTTGTGTTTTAAGAAACCATGGTGACTTGTGTTTCTAGTTATCTTGTATTGCTAGATATCATGTTGATGACCCAGAACCAACAAAAAAATTGACTTTTCAATCACCACCTGAAACGCAACCCCCACCTTTTCCATTATTTTTAATGTGAAAATTTATCCCTCATAGCAGGTTTTCACTTAGGATGAACATTTTCAGAAACGCATCTGTAGTGTTAAATGAGGAATTACTGTACTGTACAAATGCAGCTTATCATTATATTTAGCATTATTAATCTTCAAATACTGTTACTTATCATGCTTCATAATTTTTTAGAGTAACATTGGAAGTAGTAGACTATTTCACTTCTTGAAATGTACCTCCAGATTAATATATTAACTTGAACAAATTAGAGAATGAGAGACATTTCACCAAGAAACTGAAGGAGAAATTAAGAGTTTGTTAATCAATAAATACACTTTTAATTGAAGGGGTCAGCAACCTTTCCAAATCAATACCAAAGAGCCAAAATACATCACAATTCAGAACCAGTGGTCAACAAACAGCCGTATAAGAATGCTCATTTGTATTACTGGGGTCTTGGTGGGTCTGTGTGCTACAGAGAAGGGATGGGAATGCTGCTCTGACCATGAAAGTGATGGGGGAGCACCACCTCCCGATGCTCCTATTGACCGCAATTTGGCCAATAGGAGCAGCGGGGAAAGCTTCCAGGAGATGGTGTTGGTGATCCAGCCTCTGGTGTGTGTGTGTGACTGAAACCCAGCATCCCAAGCTCTGTAGGCTGATGCCTTCTTCATTAGGTCACTGGGACCTCCCCCCCTTCAGCTGATGCCTTATCCATGAATTTTGGGAATGACAAACTAGCCATATTTGGCTTCAGAGGCATAAGTTGCTGACCCCTGCCCTAGAACATATATACATTTCCCTTGCAGAATCAACAGATATGTAGGAATATAAGGATTGGTCAGTATTCTGAGAAGGCAATATGGAATATATTTTGCCTTAAATCCTGATCAAGAGCTGTTACGGTGCCAATCAATGTATCTGGGTCATTGTTCTCATTCACACAGGTGGTGTAAAATGCACAGATGTCTAATATCTGCACCATAATGGCTTCGGTGGTAGTGAGCGCAGGGGACTCTGAGTCGGTAGCAGTGATGGTTATCACACACTATGAAGCTTTCTCTCCAGAGGTTTTTGTCACCAGTTCATAATAATTCCTGAAAGCTGGTCTTAGAGCAAAGGCCAGTTGATCTGCAATGGAACAAGACGTTATCCCATTGTCCCCGGAGTCGAGATCCTTAACGCTGAAAACAGCCATCAATCTTACCAGGTGAGTTTTTTGTTATCAGGATAATGAGCGAATTTATTGTCACTTGTGGGGGGATTGTCATTCACGTCCAAACTTCCAAGAGGACTTTGCAAAGTGCAGACAGATCTCCACAGTCTGTGGCTCGAACTCCGATCTCATATTTTTCAGTAAGTTCCAAGTCCAGGGGTTTTACGATTCGGATTTCACCACTCAGTTTTGTCTTGAAAGCTGAATGGCTCTTTTCTGCATGTTGACTGAATAAGTCATTAAGTCCTTTATCAGTTGCAGTGACAATGAGAACCAGTCAATCTTCTTGGCTGTTTTCTAAATTCTTCGCTTTGTACAACTTCCGCGTAAAGATTGGAGCATAATCATTTACATCCAGAACCATGATGTGAATTTGAGTTCCACTGGATCCGGGGGAGGAGGAGGTAGCAGTGAGAATTAACCTGACCTCAGGCTGCTCTTCTCTGTGCAATGACTTTTCCAACACTATTTATTGCCATCCTTTTGTTCCCGAACAAATACGTTAAAAGGAACAATTAGGAGGAACGATTGGATAATTCTGCAGGTTTTTACTTCCCGCACCCAAATGTTGAATGCCCTCTAGTGGAAAACGAGATCCTGGATCAATTATTTCCAGGATCTTGAAAGTTAATTTGTCTTCAGAGGAGAGAGGTCATTGATATCCTTCCTCTTGAAAGAACAGCAAGGGATTTTCCAGTAATAATTGAAAATATACAGTATCCGAGCCACTTTTCCTACAAATGTCCTCGAGATCTATTAGGTTTTTAATTAATAAAGCCCCATAGGGCATTCAACCTGAAAGTGTTATTTGCTATCTTCTGAAACCCAGGCCCTGCGAGCAAACAGTTTTCTCAATCCTTTGCAAAGTTAGTTACAACGGATCCATTTCCATCTCTTCCGGTACAGAATAGCGAATCTTTTTCACGGAGAATGTAAAGTGTAGAGATAAAAGTACAGAAACACAGAATTTGCCTTGTTAATTCATTTTTCATCTTTGTAGTCACCATTCCTCTCACAGCTCTCCTGTAAAACTGACAGCAAGCGCCTTTATTTTCCAGACGAAATATTGCAGAATGCGGGAAGTAGATTCTGTTCTATACTCTTTGTGCTGTCTGGCCGAACAAAGTTTACAGGACCTACAGTTCTGTTTCGGCGCCGTCTTGGCCAACAGCACCACCAAGCAGTTTTAAAATGGGATTCTTCCCATTTTGAATTATTCTTCCAGATTATTTTCCTCCTATGAGCTTGAGAAAAAAAGAATAAGGCGATTAATAGAAATAACCAAATGTATAAAATCGCTGTATAAATTCTGAGTAAAGAAATATCTTTCTTTCAGAGATATAAAATGCATGCCCATATATATACTGATACACAAACATAAATATACATATAAATACAGAATATATTAAAACAGAAAAAAATGATTGTGCACAATGTCTTCGCACACTTCAGATCGTTTAAAGCCAAGACAACTTAAGAGCACATTTTCCCAAACAAATATTTGTACTGTTTTATTAACTCCTGTCTTTGAGTGTATGTGACAAATCCTGCCCTCTCTCTTATCCGGGGATAACTTATTCCTTATCAGGGAGTTCTCGCAGGGACTAGCTGGACTTAGTAAGCGGAGTTATACAAAGAGGAATGTCTCTTGCCCTTACCCGTGTTATGACTACATAACATGGCCCTGTTTCATTCTGTTGTCAAATCCCCATTTCGGCTGTGGCCAGGCACGACCCAATAACTGAGCACGCTCCAGACTTTCCTGTAGCCGGAGGGGATGGAAAGCCCGGCCGGGACTTGGACGGCACAGCTCGTTCCTACCAATTGCGCATTTCAACCGGAAATCAGAGTCGAGGAATGAGGATGTGGCGCCACCCTGCTTTCATCTACTCTCAAGCTAGACGAGAATAAAATCGTTTTAAACTAAACATCTATGAATCAAAATAGTCTGTTCAGTTATTTTAAATACCCACACAGACAACAGCATGGAAAATCTGGCCCAAAGCCTCATATTCACGGAGTCAGCAAGATCATTTTCCGGAGTGGTCACTGGAGCTCCACACAAAGTTGACCACATACCGGACCTAATATTTGTCTGGAGCATATACATGGAAGAAATAACGAACACTAGTTTCCCTGATCAGACCCCCACTCGCAATGGCTAGAGATGATAATTGCTTTTCTCAACCCTTAAACCAACAGTCTAAAAAACAAATGGTCATCCTGCCACAAATTTCCAATTTGTCCTAAAGGATACAGGGAGCCAGACACCGATACAGACAGTGTCTTACAGCCCTAGAGAATAAAGTAACCACGCGATGCCCTATGTCACTGATATTCTGCTCCTAGTCTCTCACCGCAATATAACTGACCTTGGTTCATTGATGAGCTGAGACAGATGGTGTAGGAACGTGGAAGGTAAGAATCCCGGTGGCTCAAGATGCAGCAGCACAAGGATAAGAACATCTTGAAATCACATTATCCATTCATGCCGTCTTGGAAATGCCGGCCATCAAAAAGGGATCTTTGCCCGTGTGCTATTGAAAAGTTGAGAAGAGCGCTTGGGTCCCTTACCCAGGGAAATAAATCAATGTATCCTTCAGAGAAGAAACTCTCCCAGTCACTCACTCTACATGGGCCATGATCAGGCTGACTCCTAGGATGCCAATAACCTTTCCAATTGTTCTTTATCCGACCTTCATTAGGTATAGCCAACCTATAATTACCTGAACTGCTGGAAGTTCCTGTCACGCTTCAAAACTGAGCAGGCCTAGAGAGGAAACTCGCCTGTGGTTCCCATTCAGTAGATTCCAGGGCAACTGCTCCTCCTTCCCAAAGGTCTCCTTACGGGGATCCCTTAGACTGTGAATTCCTCACAGCGGGGGTCTTGCCAAAATGTTTGAAAAGCCCCAGCAGGTAGTCAACTCAAGGGCACATTAATCAGAAAGTAGTCGGTCTCTTTTCCTTATCATCCCATGTAAGAAATGTCCATAAAGAGGTCAAGAGTGTTCATAGGCTCAAATGCATCTGACAAAGCCAAGCTTTAGGTCTCCCCACATCCTTCCGAATTAAATTTAAAAAACCAGCAATGCTCTTTCCTCTCCTGATAACCAGAGTGTGGCATTGTAAGAACTAAATTAAGTACATTCATGGACAAAGTCAAAAAATAAAGAGCAAAATAACTCAATAGTAAAGTACAATGTTTACAGTTTTGCGATAAAAAATATTAAATAAATCAAATATTTAAAATCTGAACACAATTATATCAAAGTAGTTCATCTATGCCTATCAGACATACATGCACTCTTCTATAAGCAATGAATTAACTATCACATATTCTCATATTAGGAAAGTACACACACAGATTTCAGAGCGGTAGCCGTGTTATTCTGTTTCAACAAAAACAACAAGGAGTCGGAGGCACTTTAAAGACTAACAGCTTTATTAATGTATTAGAGCATAAGTTTTCATGAACTACAACTCACTTTCTCAGGCGTTGAAGAGAAAAAGAAAGAAAAACAGAGAAAAGTATACAGAGATGGGAGTGTCACACAAATAGAGTGGATTGGCACTATATAATAAAATAGATGCCCAGTGTAACAAACACTGAAAAGTTATTACGGACATGGCTGCTTGATTAAATGAAAACATCAAAAATAGAAATTTAAAAGCGAATCGTTCGCTTAGTCACTGATAGGTAACAATTCGTTTTGCAAAAAGATCTTTTGAAAATTTGGGCTATTCCAAACTTGCCTATCGATGTTGAAATCTTGATTTAGCATACAGGATCATGTATTGTGGACAATGCGCCTATCCCATAATAATTAACCTTCCTTCTATACTGTTCTGGTCAATTATCATCCTAATGGTTCTTACTTCACTATTGTGGACTTCTACAATGTCCTGGCTCAGTGGCTTTTGGAGTTTCATAGGAAAGCCATTCCTAGTATTCTGAGCAGAAACTATGCTACTGACAAGGTAACCGGCTTCTGCTATTCTGTGGAGCAGTTTATTAGCAGGGGAGATGCTATTCTGAAGAAGGAATAAAATGAAGGGGGCATTACCACGTGTATAGTTTACAAAATTGTTTAAAACGTATAATAGAATCAAAGAACTGGAAGGAACCCTAAGGAGCCAACAAGTCCAGTTCCCTGCGCTCATGGCAGGACTAAGGACCAACTAGAACAGACCATCCCTGACAGACGTTTGTCTAACCTGCTCCTAAAGATGGGGAGTCCACAAGGCCCTAAGCAATTTATTTTGGTGCTTAACTACCCTGACAGTTAAGAAGGTTTTTCCTAATGTCCAACCTAACTCTATCCTGAAGTCATACAAGGAGAGAAATTCTATAAAGAAGGACTGTGACGGCGCATTGGGGGTCCCCCGTCTCCTGCACCCCGAAATGGCACAAACAGACTGCACCAGCCGGTGGGATAGAGGAAGTTTATTGCCTCTCCAGGTTACAGCACAGCACAGATGTAGTCTGGTCACAGAGCTGGGCTAGGCTGCCTCAGGCCCCCTTGAGATGGGGGAGACTGGGCCCCTAAACTCCAGCCCCTTTCCCTAGGCTGTCTCCTCCATGCTTCCAGCCAGCAACTAACTAACTCTCCTCCAGCCCTGCCTCCCAGCCAGGGCAGCATCCACCTTCCTTTGTTCCTCTCCATGGGGGTTAGCTGGTCAGACGGGTTGAGACACCCTCTTTGCATAATGACTCATCGCCTGTCTTGCTCGGTGGTGCTACAGACAGTGGCCAGGGGGGTAGCAGCCAGGGCAGCATTCCACCTTCCTTTGTTCCTCTCCATGGGGGGTGTCTGGCCATACTGGTTTGCATAGTGACTCATCCTGTTGTGCTGGGTCGTGGTACCCACGGCAGCCAGTGGGGGTTACCCCAGAGCCAGCAGCATAGAAACCAGCCAGGTACCCCCACTACGTCACAAGGACAGAATTAAACAGATGTTTAGGAGAGAAGCAGTCATCTCACATGGGAGAGAGGCAGGGCCTATCCAAGTGGATGGCGCTACAAGACTCCATATGGAGAATCGGGTAACAATGAGTCAACATAATAGCATGCAGCTGGCTCAGGCTATAAAAATATCATTTTCCAAATACCTATGAATTGACCCTGGCGGCAAAGTCTGATTTGAATAACACCGACACTCTTTACCCAAAACACAGATCAATACATCCTACTAGGCGATTCAAGAGTATTTCCCAAAATAGCAGGCTAATATAGTTCTTATAACATACACGCACAATACACTAGTATTTTAATATTCTCCAGATCTTTTCACATCTCTTCTTTGACATTTCTAAACCAAAGTACATAAAGTAAGAAACATTAAACCCACACAAATCTCTATTAAAGCCAAATTGTATGAACCGATGTCTACATATCTTTAGCAGGAAAAAGAATAGCTTTCCCCATAATTTTAAAAATAAAAATTTATGATAGTATATTTCAATGATGGATACACGATAAACAAATTATAACGAGAACGAAATAAAATTATAGAGAACGAGAAAGTTAATCTAACCTGATTCGCTGGCTCCAGGTCCGGGTTCAGGTGAAAGTTAGCAAGAAGGTCCTGGTCTCGCCCAGAGCCCGTTCCAGGGGGGCCCTGCCCAGGTGGCAAGGAGGGGAGAACGGGCCTCAGGAATTTGAATTCGCTGTTTCCTGATCCAGTCGTTAAACAGACTTCATAGCGATAGCTCTGAGACAGAGTCCCGGTGCCCGACACATCTACCAGATTAGTTTGGAAGTTGCTATCACCGTAGCCATTGGCAGAAGCAGACACGTATTTTTCACCATAATTCCTTCTTCTATAAAGCTTGATACATATAAATATTATCACTGAAACCAAGAAGCCAAACGACACTAAGCACAAGGAAATGACTAAATAAAGCGTTAACGGGCCATTCTCTTCCTCTTCCACAGCGACCTCGGTATACTGCAGGTGTGCGTCCGAAAACCCATCCACCAGAGCTATGGTGAGAGTTGCAGAGGAAGAAAGAGCCGATTCGCCGCTGTCTCGAACAACCACAATGAGTTTCTGCTTCTTGGAATCTCGCTCTGTTATGAGCCTCGTGGTTCTGATTTCCCCATTGTGGGAAACCACCGTGAAGAGACCGGGGTCCGTGGCCCTCTGCAGCTGGTAGGAAAGCCAAGAATTCTGGCCCGAGTCTCCGTCCACGGCCACCACCTTCGTCACCAGGTAACCCGGCCCCGCCGAGCGGGGCACCAGCTCACTGGCGGGGGAGCTGCTGTTCTGCAGAGGGTATAACAGGAAGGGCGCGTTGTCGTTTTCGTCCAAGATCACAACCCGGACGGTGGCTTCAGAGCTCAGCGGGGGGGACCCGCCATCCGCAGCGCGCACCCGCACCTGGAACTCTCTGATCTGCTCATAATCCACGGATCGCAGCGCGTACACGTTCCCGTTCTCCGAGTTGATGGAGATATAGGAGAGCAGCGGAAGGCCACCGGCCTCAGCAGGCAAGAGCGAGTATGTCACCTTGGCGTTCTGCTCCGAGTCCGAATCAAAAGCACGGACCTGCCCTAGCAACAGGGCGGGGCCGCTGTTTTCTCGGACGTGCAGAGTGTATGACGTTTGGCTGAACACCGGGGAGTTGTCATTAATGTCGGAGATTTTCACGGTGATGGTCTTTTCAGTGGAGAGACTGGGAGATCCCATGTCCCTGGCGGTGATGGTTATGTTATACTCCGACACCGTCTCTCGGTCAAATGTATTTTGGGTCACCAGAGAGTAGGAATTTTTTGAAGTTGATTTTAGAAAAAACGGCAGATCGTCTTCTATGGAGCAGACTGTTCTCCCGTTGTCCCCGGAGTCCCGGTCTCTCACATTGAAGAGGGCCACCACAGTCTCAAGTGACGAATCTTCGGGTATGGGGCTAATAAGAGACGTGATTTTAACCTCTGGGGCATTGTCATTCACATCTGTCACTTCCACCAGGACTTTGCTGTACGCTGACAGCCCCCCGCCGTCTGTCGCCTGAACGTCTATCTCACAGGCGTCTGTTTCCTCAAAATCCAGTGGGGCCAAAAGTCGAATATCTCCCGTAAGCGGGTTTATGCCGAATGCGTTGAGATTCGTTTCGGATTTCTGGCTAAATGAATACGAGATTGCTCCGTTAATTCCTTCGTCTGCATCAGTTGCGGAAACCGTCAGAACCACAGAATCTGGTTGGGTGTTTTCCAAAATCTGTGCTTTGTAAAGTGCCCGGGAAAACTCGGGAACATTGTCATTGCTGTCAAGAACAATGACGCGGACCTGCGCTGTGCCTGACCGCGCCGGGGAGCCTCCGTCTATCGCCGTCAGCACAAAGCTGATCTCTGCCTGCTTTTCCCGATCCAGCGGCCGCTCCAACACCAGCTCCGCGTACTTCCCTCCGTCGCTGCGATGGCGCGTGTAGACGCGGAAATGGTCGGCTGAGCTGATGGCATAGCCCTGCAGGCTGTTGTTTCCGACATCTAAATCCCGGGCTTTTCCCAGAGGGAAGCGGGACCCAGGAGGAGTGGTTTCCGGCATCTTTAGGATCAGTTCTTTATCGGAGAATTCCGGAGCGTAATCGTTTACATCATAAACCGAAACCTCAGCCCGATAGGACTGCAAGGGGTTTTCCAGGATGATTTCCAAGTGCACGATACAGGGGTCTGCTTCCCCGCATAGCTCCTCCCTGTCCAGTTTCTCTTTAATAAACAAGTCCCCGGTGTCGCTGTCTAGCTGGAAATGCTGGCGGCTGTCCTCGGACACCACACGGGCCCTGCGAGCGGACAGTCTCTTTGGGTCTTGTCCCAGATCCTTTGCTACATTCGCCACAAAGGACCCGCTTTCCATTTCCTCGGGCACAGAGTAGTGAACTGGTCCGGATCCGACAGCCCACGCGCAAAGAAACAAGGCGAGAAACACCGCTTGCCTTCTGAGGAGTGTTCTCCTCTGCTCACCCGCCATTCTTACTGTGCGAATCCAGCGAGCTCCGCGTTGAAAGAATGTCGCTTTGCCACAGCGTCTTCTGCAGTTCCGAGAGCTAGATGTATCCCTGCTCCTGCGCACATGAACGGATCCAGTCTCGCGCGAATGTTTCAGGTTGTGGCTCTTTGTTCTTCCTTAGCCAATACTGCCACCAAGCGTCTCAGATGATAACGATTCGATTCTGAATCCATTTACAAAGATCTGGAAATGGGTTGTATATTCACCAGCAGCTACCAGCATCCCATGTAAATGGAACAATGTAATCTGCTGGATCTTTAGGGCTGTTTAGTGTAAAACAGAAATGACTTTAAAGGGGAATGTAAAAGGCAGAGCTTCTCTATGCGTTTGAGGATTATAATCCTTCTAAAATCCCTTTCCTCCTCTGAAAGTCCCTTTAACAACACAAGGAAGGATTGTCATTCTTTTGCTGCTAGATTCAACAGAAAGAAGGATTGCACGTCTCATAAAATTCATGAGATTGCGGCTCGCTCACCAGAAAATTGAAAAGGGGGGGGATACATCGCACTTTACTTTGATACAATTTGGCAGGGATCAACCGCACTAACATTTTTTGCTTATTGTATAAAGCGAATTTCATATAAGCAAAGACAGAAGTATATGTGTGGTGAGATTTTGATAGATGTTTGGCTGCTGTGTGTGTTCCCTGTGTATACCACCCCCGCCTTGCGCAGACAGCAGTCATGGCAGACAAGCAAACCCCCAATGACCACAAGCTCCCTTAAAAAAATCAAGGCACCAGCCAGGTTCGCTGTCAGCAAAACAAGGTAATAACATCTAGCAAATTCTACAAGAATACTTTTTAAAAATACTTTTTAACAATGAATGCAGCTCAGTGAATGGTGGGCATTTCCTCTCCTCCCGCCTGACAAAAATACTCCCTCTAAAATACATCTTTGTACCCCAATGAAAACGAGTTAGTATTGCCCTTAACATAGTTACTGTCACTGACTTAGTCTTGTATATGTTCGTTCAATTCAAATTTTATTACTTACTGTTATTTTAACCGTATCTTTAAGATGAGTCAATGTGTTCCTGTTATCCTTGGAAAATGTTTTTGTACCATCCTTTACATAGGATTGTTCTGGTACCATTTAACGTCGGGATGAATTTGCCCGAATACTCTATCACTAGTATTTCTGCAATATCAGCCCTGCTCTTGTTGGATTCTGTGGGCAGGCCCTGCCTTATACCGGACCTCTCTGATACAAGGTCTTATGTCTCAGTCTGTCTTCCTATTACAGTATGTTTCAGAAGTTAGAGCTTATGTGGTTTTAAAGGTATGGAGACTATTATGGTGCATCATGTAGAGATGCTGCAAATGGATCACAAGGGTCTGCACTTAAATCTCCGGTCGAATATAGTGAGAAGCAAATTCAGCCCTGGTGTCATCGGATGCAACAATTACATAGCCAGTCTAAGCTAATTTTTAACACTTTCTCATGCCCTGGAAACCCCTAACTATGTACCTGGCTCCCAAACCAGTGTAAGTAGTGGCCAAGTGGGATACAGGGGGGTGATCCAATTCTGAATTGAATTGAATTCACTGAGATTAACAGGGGAGATCCACGTTTTCCAGGTCTAGAGTGAGAAAGTGAAACAATATTTGCACTGGTTTGGCCAGCAGGAAATCAGTCTTGTCGTCTGAGTCGCAAGGAATTTGGTGGAGTACTATGGGACAAGTGTTAAATTCAGTCACAGGATGGAAACCAGCCATTATGCGCTAATGTCCACAGATACAACAGAAAGTTAATTTCCCCATTTTGCATTAGAATACCTCGCGTTATACACTCCATTTACCAGAACATCTCCTCAATTTCATTTTTGTTACTAGTCTTTTCTTAAATGTATAAGTGG